GAATGTTTGACATATGTATAAAATATTAAATATAGATTAAAAAATAATTAATTGCACAGATTACGACTACTTTGCGAGACGAATCTTTTAAGCCTAATTAGTCCATAATTTGACAATAAAATTCTACAGTAACACATGTGCTAATGACGGATTAATTAGGCTTAATAAATTTGTCTCGCGGTTTACTGACGGATTTTGTAATTTGTTTTTTATTAGTATCCGAACACCCCAACAACACCCCATGTGACACCCGATGTAACACTTCAAAACTTTACACCCAGGAACTAAACAAGGTCTGCCTTGTTTTCCAATTGTATTTGCGGGTGTTTACATCACAGAGATAAAAATCAGTCCATCCTGGTTAAACATGGACTAATCATGAGCTAATAAAAGCTAATATTCTTTAACCATCAATTAACCCTATTAGCTCTTACTAGCCTATGTTTAGCCCTCCTATTTAACATCCAAAATTTATAAATAATTTATTTTTAGCCGTGTACTCTCTTTGTCCCTCTAAGAGTGTCATTCTCACTTCTCGATGGGTCAAACATTTTTAATTTTAACCAAATATATTATTAATAAGTACATAATTATTAATATTTACGGTACATAATAAGTATCATTATACTATCGTTGAGCATATTTTTATAATAAATAACTTATTTAAAGAAATAAATATTACTAATATTTTTTACAAAAGAAGTTAAACTCAAGAAAGTTTGACATGTAAAGAGACCCTATACGTTTCACTTTTTTTTTTTTTTCTGGAGGAAGTGAGTATATCCGAACAACGTACTGTAGTTACACATTCTTCCATTTCCAGTCGTCTGAAAATTGTGATCCTGACATTAATGCAGCAATTGGTACTGTACCCGGTTAGGAACGAAAATAAAACAATTGTCGACGTGGACCAAATTAGAATAATTGTCAGGAGATCGACCCTTTGTTTGGTCCCTCGTTCAGCGAGCGACGGTAAACTGTTGTAATCGTTGCGATCGGTAGTACTGAGACCATCAGTAGTACGTAGGACAGTGGGCGTGCTGCGCCAAGGAGAAGGTATGCAGTCCGTGTCCGTGATTAAGCCCTCGTTTAGTTCCACTCTAACTTTTAAAAAGTTGCTACAGTACCTATCATATCGAATGTTTGCGGCCCGTACATAAAGCATTAAATGTAGATGAAAAGAAAAACTAATTGCACAGTTTGGTGGGAAATTGCGAGACGAACGTTTTGAGCCTAATTAGTCTATGTTTAAACACTATTTACCAAATAAAAACGAACGTGCTGCAGTAATCCCAAAATCCAAATTCGTACAACTAAACACAAGCTAAGAAGCCTGCCCAGCTTAATTTGCAACACGCCAAGGCGACATTGCTACGTGCTCCAATGGGCATGGATCGTACAGTACCTATTAACTGCTCTCTCTCTCTCTCTCACCGCCAAAGAATACACGGCTGACAGACAGGTCAAGGACACGAGGCACAACTAATTCACCAGTTTTCGTTCTGATCGCTTCCCTTAGAGGCGAGTCAAAAAATCTTTTACCACGATTTATTATCCAACAACAGGGCATTTGTATCTGATAAGACATCTCCATCGTCCATGCCTCGGATCCAACCGTGTCGATCGATGTGGACTAGTACTATTTATTGATCTGATGAACTAATAGGTAGTACGATGGAAGATGTAGTTGGTTGGGCTAATTGTTCAAGTGGCGACTACTCTGCAAGTCTGGTTCAATTCGACTGTTGAGCCAGCAAATCCGAAGTGACTAGCGTTCCTTCAGTCTCCAGCGTATATGCATATGCACGTTTCACTCAACCTACGATTACGATATGCAATTAACAAATACCAGTTGACTTGAACAGATATGGATCATCTCACTATCCACTGACGCCACCCCACAACAAGCTGGAGACGCCAATGCATTTAATTAACGGATTGCAACTGCCTCTATATCTACTCTGTAGCTACCTGAAACGATCGCTTCAGTGCTCAGTGTAGCGCCATCCAAGCAACAATGGCGATCTAGCTTAGCTTGCCGTGTGTGGATCGTCGGAGAAATGAATTAGGACGTCAGGACGTAGCTGGAAGCCAGAAACGATCCTACGCGCACGCAAGCACGAAAACTTGCGCATATGGCGTCTCAAGGGCAAGGGAAAAAAGAACAGACAGTTGAGCAAATGATCAGAATAAAGCACGTGAACACGTGACACATCTTTACTGCTTTACGGCCGATCGTCGCGGCGCAGGGTGGTGAGCTTTTTTCTCGGCCGTACCCGTTGCGTGGATATGCTCTGCCTGCCTATGCACGGCTGGTGAATAGTGATGGAAGCAAGTGCCCTGTTTGTTTGGCTGGCTGATTTGTTGTGTGAGAAAAATACTGTTCGTTAGCTAAAAAAATAAGATTTACAAGTCAAGCGAATGGGGCGAAGGAATCTTGCACGTGCTTCTCGAAACATGCATGTTTCCACCTGCCGCGAAAGCTAGCGATGAAAACGTTGTGAATCTACTCTGCCTGGTGTCATTTTATGAAAGACCATTTTACAGCGTATTCGAGCTACGAGCACATGCACCCAACGGCCGAAGGCGGTGGGTGGTGAGTGAGGGACGGGCGAAGAAGTGTCCTCGCAGACGCAAATGGGCGAACGAGGGATGTCCCGGCCCAGCAATTTACTTTTTTTTTTAGAACGAGCAATTTACTAGAAAGTGTATGTAGGCTTAGGTGTCTTGGGCCCTACTACTGTCGGCCCAAATGCCCTCGGCGAATTCCCGGTCCCGTGTGACAAATTTTTTATTTTCTTTTTTTTAAATTACACGGTACAACGCAGAAACCCACAACACGCACGCACACTCACCCCTATGAATACACGTATGTGATAATTTTTTTCTTTTTTCTAGAATTACACAGTACAACGCAGACGTCCACAGCACGTACGCACACTTCACCCCTATGAATACACGTACGCAAACCCTACCCCTATGAGCACCTCCGAAGGACAGAGTTGGCAGATCTTGAGATTCACGAAGTCACCGCTAGCGCCTCGCTGTTGACGAGGACGTCGCCTACCACTGAAAGCATAGCGTCGTTAAATCCTGAAATAAATCCAGAAAAATATGAGCACCCGTGTCAAGTCGATGATTTGAACCCGGATAGATAGGTTCCACCACAAGAAACCTAACCAATTGATATATGCTCAGTTCGCAAATTTTTTTTCTTTTCGACACGAGGCAGCCCATTGTCATGAAGCCAATGAAAATATGTGAGTTTGAAACAGAGTTGGAAAAGACTGCTACCAGCACTATATCAATATCGATTGCAACCTGAAACTCTGTCTCGGAGTTTTGAGGAAATGCTACCTGTAGTCTGTAGAGCATTTGCTAGACCACACAAACGTTGAACGGCCTTTCACCCCGCCGCTCGCTCCCGTCCGCATGTATATTTAAAAAAACTTATCCCTTCACTTCCTTCTCCCCATCCTTACCTCTACCACGCTCGGCGTCCTCTCCCACCAGGAGCCCCCAACGTCCGCAGATCCGACGGCCCTCTCCCCCACCCCTGCGAGATCCATGGAGCATGAGCGAGATCCACTCGTCTCCGATGAGATCCATGGAGGTGACACGGCGGTGTGTAGGGGAGTGGACGGCTCTCCCCCACACTAGCGCGAAGTCCTCCCCACCCCCGGCGGCACCCTCTCTCACCCCGGCGGTCGAGCTCCCCCCTCCCTGACGGCGGATGGCGCTCCTCGCCCCCCTCCCCTGCCACTCCCACCGTCGCTGCCGAGCCATGCCTAGTATTGGTGGCGGTTGTCCTCGCGTGCAGCCGCTCGCCGCCGGCTCCCAGCCCGTCGGCCGGAATCCACCGGTCCAGGCCTTTGTCCCCCTATGTTGCAAATGTATGTTTTAATTTCAGAGGTTTTAGAGGTATGATGCAATTGTTTCATATGAATGTTGCAAAAGTAGATCGGGAGATGTTGCACATGTTGCATATGTTATAAGTGTTTCAGAGGCATCTTGCAAGCGTTTGTTCAAAATATTCTATCTGTTTCCAGACGTATGTTGCAAGCGTTTTAATCTGGATGTTGCATATGTTTTCACACATATGTTGCAACAGTATGATTCAAAATGTTTCATCTGTTTCAGTCTTCTGTTGCAGCAAGTGTTTTCATGTTGCGAGTTACGAGTAGTCTATCTGGATGTTGTATATATTTACACACATATGTTGCAAGTGTATGCTCTAGATATTTCATCTGTTACAGACGTATGTTGCATTCAAGTGTTTTATGTTGCACATGAGTGGCGCGGCGAACCGGTGGGCGACGGACATGGCGCGCGGCGAGTCAGGGGCATGCCGGGGGGGGGGGTTGCGTCTATGGGGGCGGACGGATAGGGATGGGGGCGTGTCAGGTGTGCGGGAGCGGGCGTGTCAGGCGTGCGGGGCGGGCATCCGATGTAATTCATCCGTATCGGATGTCCGTGCACTAGCATTACTCTTTTTTTTTTTAAAGAAGTCTGCGGAGGGGTGAGAGCTCTACTTGAATTCCATAGGTGTCTTTAAGCCGGGGGATATAGAGTGCTAGGCGTCTGCAGGTTTTGGGGGGCATGCCCCTAACATAACGGGGAGAGAAGAGAGTTCAAATTGTAACCCAAAATCGTACACGTACCTGATACAATAACGAAAAACAATCCCGTGTGACATACTTTAGGACAAAGTTAGCAACAACAGGGTCCTCTGAAAAATAGTTAGCAACAACAGGAAAGGCGCGTATATAGCATAAAACAATGCAAGTCTGCGTTGATTTTGGTAGCTTGTAATCTCGTCCATCAATTACCAAATTTTGCCTATTACTATCAGAGTTCTAAATATTCTGCGACCTACGCACCAAAGAATCAAAACTTTACTGAAAACATGCTGTACACGGTAGTACACCGATCTCCTCTCAAATAAACTAGCTAAATTGCCAGCTAACCATGATCAAACTATCCCTGATCAATGGACTGGATCACTCGCTAGCTGCTTCCACGATCACACTTGGCCTCTGCACGGGTGCAAGATCACGGGCGACACGCTGCTTGTAGCCAACTCCGTTCCTCGCCTTCCCCACCGTCTCGCCGCCGCCGCCACGCGCCGCCTTGCGCGCGTCCGTGTACCCGCCGCGCACGGGGTAGCTCTTCCATTCGCCGTGCGCGTCTGCGCTCACGACGACGACTACTGGCGCCACTTGTCCCGTGGCCTGCCACCTCTGCTGCCTGCTGCTGGCCGCACCGGCGCCCTCGCTTCTGTCCAGAGCCGACGACGGCACGCTGCCGGCTGCCGCGGCCACGTCCGCGGTGGCGACGACCTGTGCTGTCCCAATAGCCGCGCAGGCCTTGACGGCGAGCGCGGCCATGTCCTGCGCGGACAGCGGCCGGCCGAGCATGGCCATTGGCAGGGCGAAGTAGAGCTGCCCGGGACGGAGCGCGTCGTGCGCGGCCAGCGCGGTGACGGGCACGTCGAAGTCCAGCGCGTCGGAGCAGCAGAGGAAGCGCGGCGGCGACGACGGCGGCGCTGCTCCGCCCCCGCCGGCGGTGGCGGTGGCGGTGAGGGCCTCGTGCGCCGTGACGGGCGCCGCGAACTGCGCCATGGAGCCGTCGAGGTCCACGACCTTGGCCGTGAGCGCGTGCACGGACACGGACACGGACTCCGCCGCCGTTGACGTCGCCGCGGTACCAGAGCGGGAGACGCACGAACCCATTGATCTTCTTCTTCTCTGGCGATCTCTGTGTCTGTGCGTCGGAGACGGAGAGGAACAGAGGATGTATATATGGTGAATTCGTGAATCGTGATGGAGCGGAGTCGAAACGGATACGGGCGAGTGCGGCCGCGCCTGCTACTTTTATAGAGGGAGGTGCTTGGAGTCTTGGAGAGTGGAGCGCAAGGCACGACATCGACATCTGCTCAGGCGATGCGATGACCGGACGACGTACGTGAGCTCGTCACCGCGCGAGCGAGGACAAAGGACTGATAGGAGCACTGCAGCTCTCAGCTGGAGAGGTCAAGTCAAACTGTAGCCAGGGACGACGAATAGATCTTCCGGCGGCACTTGCGTCCTCTTTCTCCGAGCAGTACGGCCGCGGGAAAGGAAAGGACGAATTGGCAGGTGAATGGAAGGAGCTCGCTGACTGTCTGAAAGTGGAAGGTACAGGTCGTGTGCGGTGGTGCGCCAAAGGCGGCTTCGAATCGTCACGGCTAGCGTCACGAGACTTCGAGTTTGCGACGTTCGGACTTCGGAGGTCGAGGCTCCGTGCGTGCTCGCGGATTACAAACACATTAACGGTTTCTGACTTCGTCCTCTCACGGAAGATGAGGCAAGGACAAGGTCTACTGAACCTAGCAGCACGACATGTATGTTGACATGTTGCATTGTATTAACTTCAATAAATTAAATGTACGGCTTTGAAAATATTTGTATGAGATAACCGGTTATGTATTGTAGATGAATAGGTTAGGCTATAAAAATATTTTTGTGCACAGGTTCGTCTAGAGAAATTTCGCTCTCCACAGGTGAGATTCTTTGGGGGCCACTCGTGCAAAACAAAATCCAGAGCAGAGATAACCTCGAGAAGACAACAATCGTGGAGGATGCGTTGTGCGATCTCTGCGGAGCAGGGGAGGAATATGTGGTTAATACGGTAGGTGGGGACTTTTCTTCCCCGTCGTTCCGCTAAAAAAAATATGTGCGCCGTTACACCAAGTAAAACAGTGGGTAACCCTGCGCTTCGCGCGGGCTGCAAGCTGACCATTTTTCACGCTATTGAACAGATTTACATGCAGCGGCAAAGCTGACCATTAGTGTTTTACATGGCGATCTAGCTTAGCTTGCCGTGTGTGCAAGCTGACCATTTTTTTTTGCGGAATTAAATGAAGATAATTTTTATATAAAAATTATAGATCTCGACAAAGATCTACAACTTTTTAGTTTTGAGTTTTTTTCATTTGAAGTCGTTAAGATGCTCAAAAAAATTAATAACATATTTAGACTTAAGGGTATTTTTAACTTTTCACACCTGCAGTTGACGGCGTTAGAGCCCAAACTGACGGCAGCGGCATGGAAGGCACAAAAAAGTTGGAGCAGTGGCGCTGAAGACCGCTGAACTTTTCCAGTGGCTCACAGGGCATTGCGATCTTTTTTAATGGCACACAAGGAGTTTGACGGCGTTTTATAGATGTCTCAGCTTAAAGTACTGTACCATGGCTGAAAAGTCAGGCTCAAAAGTAATGTTCGTTGATTTGTTGTAAGAGAAAAATAATGTACCATGGCTGATAAGTCAGGCCGATAAGTTCAAGCGAACATGGTATGTCATGTTGAAGAATAACTTACCTGTTTTCATGTCCTTGGAAGATACCCAGCAAATTCCTTTTGCCTCTAAACACTAGTACATAGACGATTCGTAAAGGTGGTAGAATTTGATCTTTGGTCCTGTATGCTTATGCTAAAATTTAGTTTATACTGATGTTTATACTAAAATATTATGAGAGAAAAATACTATTCTATAGCTGAAAAATAGCTCAAACGAACAGGGCCTTTATTAGAGGTGGTTTCATCCACCGGTGTGAAAAGGACAGTAAAAATAGCACATTTACACTAGCATCACTTTTAACACCGATAGTGCTGGCGAAAGGCGGAGGTTTTAAGATAGCCACCTTTGAAAATGTTTTTTCTCACCAATTCATCTATCTCACCGTATTTGAACTATTACTTATTTGCAGACAATTTCATGTACGTTACACAAGCAACTATTAGGAAAATTCAAGTCTGATTTTGGATTTCCGTATGTCCTTAACTTCACCTATGATCGGGTCTATAATTTATAGTGTTACCGCTATAAAAATAGGATGCCCTTATCCATAAGCATGCACACTTACCTATATGAATACATACATGTGCTAAATGCCTAAATCCCTATAGATATCTATGGAAGACTAGATCTGGAAAACGTGAGATTGATGAGGTTTATAACAAGCATCTTGCTATTGGTGAGAGTGGCACCTACAACTGGAAGAAATACATCGGTATCAAACCTGGGGCTTGATAGTAGGTGACCTCCACTGACCACTGCTGAAGTTATTGCTTTATAATTTGACCGGCATCAGAAGAAGTCTTCAATGTGGAATGGTCATCCATTTCTGGATCTCTTATCATTCACGCATGCTCGAGGCGTCCAGTAATATAATAATAACACAGTAGTTTCGTTTCTTCAAAAAAGTTAGTACAGTAGTATATCCACCTAACCGTCCTAACGGGAGCACGAGTGCAACAGCAGCGTGGACGAATTCAAGTGACGACTGAATATAATGGCGAACTTGCCTTGCACTACATCAACGAGGTGCATTGTAAACTTGTAATTATCACGTTGTTGATCCATGCATGTTACACACAAACGAATGGTGTGCTGTACGCGCTATATACATTGACGTTCATGTTGGCTTTGATCTCCTCCTATCTTGAAACGGAGGAGCCAGGCATTGCCTGGCCCGTGATCAAAGCTTGATCCATCGGTACGGTTGTGGCACCGACCATGCAGTGCAGCAAGGATAAAAACAGCTGAGCCGATATATGAACGGATCACTCGCCGTCTTCCGCGATAGCGCTCAACCTCTGCACGGCGGCACGATGGCGAGAACCGCCTGTTCTGTAACCAGCAGCTCCCTTCCTCGTCCTCCCCACCGTGCGTTCACCGTCTTGAACCGCCGCCGGACGCGCCGCGTACCCACCATCAGGCGGGCTCTCTTTGCTCACGGCGACCAGAAGCGGAGCCACTCGCGCCGTCGACTGACGACGCCGCTTGCCCGCCGCCGTCGTCCCGGCCTGTTTACCCCGCCGCGGCGACAAGCCACCGGCGGCGGCGAGCGCCGTGGCGGCCCTGACGGCGAGCGCGGCCATGTCGTTGGCGGACAGCGGGCGGCGCAGCGCGGAGGCGGGGAGCACGAAGTAGAGCTGACCCGGCTGGAGCGCCTCGCCCGCGGCCAGCGCGCGCGGGGGCGCGTCGTAGGCCAGCTCGTCGGAGCTGCAGAGGAAGAGCCGGTGGCGCTGGTGCCCGCCGTCGCCCGGCGCCAGCGCCAGCGCCTCGCGCGCCGTGACGGGCCACGCGAGCTGCGCCATGGAGCCGCCTGGGTTCACAACCTTGACCGTGGCTGCCGCCGCCGTTCGCTGCGAGTGGGACGCCTCTGGAGTCGACGCCGCCGCCGGCGAGCGCGAGAACGAGACGCAGGCGCCCATTTCTTTTTTGTCACGGTGTGTCTGCCTTGTTCCTGTGGATCGATCAGTCTGGCTACTTGGCTAGGTGCGTCGGTTGATGTCGGGGTCTTGGTCGCGCCGGTTGGGGCAAGTGCTGCTGCACGACAGCACGAGTGGTGGTGATGGTTTTATAGGGACACTGATTCGCGTGGTCGAGCGATGACGCAGGCCAATTCGTCACGCTGTGTCGATGGAGATCTTGCACAGCACTCCATGCCCACAGGCTGCGGCTGAGTTTGGCCCGTCAAAGCGACCAGTGATGCTCGTGCCTCCCCCTGCCGTAGTAGTAGTTGCTAGGACGATGGTGACAGGAGCAGCAGGACAGCAGGTTCGGCCGCCAAATGACGGCTTGTTACCGATCGTTATGTGGCGACAGCGACGGACCTGTCATCCACCCGGCCCTCCGCTCGCGTTCAGGGTCACGCCTGACGCATCACGCATCCGCGGGGAGTGCCGAGTGATAGGAGTATATATTCAATTCGATCGTCACGGCTCGCGGCAGCAGATGCCCGGGTCAGCCCCTCAGACTGATGAGTACACGTACTCCCTCTGTCCCGTTTTGTGAGTCGTTCTGAGAAGGCTGCAAACTGTCTGTATTCAATGTCTCTTTCATGCACATAGACACATGTAGCGTCCAGATCCGTAGCATCTTGGATGCACCAGCTGAAAAGGGACAGAGGGAGTACTGACGAGTGATGAGCACGGAAATTTGTGGTGGTTCCACAATTTTCATCTGTCGGGTCAGTGAGCTCGCGATCGCAGCAGATTCGCATCGCGGGAACAGGGGAGTCGTGCAGAGCCTCATGGCGGTTCGTTCGGATGGGCTTAGAAGGCCTTACAGGACGTGCAGTGTAGTCCGTCCAAGCTCCACCCCCCCCCCCCCAAAAAAAAGTGTAATCCGTCCGGTTTTTTTTTTTGTGTACCTGGTTGCCATTAACCAGCCGTAGAGCATTAGTACCATATCGCGACGCGAGGGAGACCAACCTGCTGACACTGCACATAGATCAAGGGTAATTGTGCCAAGAAAACTCATACCTTTCTCAGTTTGTTTTTTTGGTTAAGATAAGAGCGATATCTGTTGTTTTCATTATTGAGTTGAATTACGTAGGCCATTCTGTTTTTCTTGGGAAGTGACTTGTTAGAGCCCAAGAGTTCGCTATCTCAACTTGACATCCATATAATTGTGGCAAAACAAAAAAAATAGCCTCCAACAGTTTGGCAAAACAACTTGGCATCAATAGCAACTTGGCAAATCTTCCCTCCGCGCGCGCAAATATACGCGCGCGTATACGGCTTGGCATCCGGGGCTCTTCGTTTCTTAGCGGGGCTCTTCGTTAGCTTAGCGGACCTCTTCGTTTTGTTAACGGGTTTTTTTATTTTACCAAGTCAAAAATACTAAACTCTTGGAGATAGATTATTTTTTTACTTGGCATATAATTTTGGGAGTTGGCAAATCACAAGATTTGCCAAGTAAAATTTGACAAACTCTTGGAGATGCTCTTAAGGTAGCTTGCTAGTTGCTATACTGGGTCCTATTGTCAGCCCTAGCGCTGCACTGATGCATGGGCTTGGCACATCTCAACCAAATCAATATTCAAGTTTTGTCTCTTCCCAATAATAATATCAGGGAGCCCTTTTTCTTTTGGATAATATAAGTAAGACGATTAACCATCAGGTCCCCATGGTAATTCTAGTCTGATTTGCGGCCAGGAGCGGCTGAAACGTGGAAGAGGCTGGGGTTGGTGAGCAGGCCCGTTAGGCATTTCTCTAGTGATCTGAATGAAAGCCCAATATAATAGTTGTCCCTTTTTTTCAGTACTGGAGCAGCCTTGCAGCGGATGAAAATGGCATGACACATTGCACTCGTGGACTCAAAATGCGTGTTACTGTCCATTCCACTAATATTTTGAAATTCACTTAGAGGCCATTTGGACCCCTTTATTTCAGAGGAATTAAAATTTACATAATGGATTAGGCTATTTGGCTTAGAATTTGACATTCCATAACATTCCTAAGCTTACAAAATAAGCCTATCTCAAATTCCTAAGGTGGGAGATAGAAATGGATTCTATAGATCGTTATGCTATAATTCTATTTTCCAACTTATAGCACATTCTTCAACACACTTTCCTACAATAGAAATGCAACATATAAGTATGTCCCTTATATGCCTAACAATAAATATACAAATATATTCTATATACAACTATATTAGCTTAATTAATCTATGCCTAAATTATAATTATTAGAATGAATTTAATTCCAATGATCCAAACAAACATTACGTGTAGATTTGTAGGTTACCTAGGCCTTGTTTGTTTACCATGAGCTTATAGGTGCCGAAGAAGAAAAATTGAAACAAGCTTGTCAAGGACAGGTTTTAGGATTATATAAGCCGGCCTATAAGTTTAGATGTTTGCTTACCACTAGAACTTATATAATCTGCATTATAGCTGAGATAAAGTCAGATTATAGTATAAGCTGTGGGGGTAAACGAGCAGGTCCTAAAAAAACTGTGAAAATCTTCGCTTGTCATGCCTGAAGGTTTAGTGACCAGATTTGATGAATGCCACATGAACCAACTTTTTTTTTAACAATCCTGTTCTAAAAAGAACTATTTTTTTATGTTACTGCTGGTGCACCTAGCTATTGTAATGCATAACGAAAAACATCTTTTGATGTAGAGACTCTTTCTAGAGAAAGAAAATTTTATTCTAGTCTTGCAAGAGTTTTGACTAAGCCAATACATTATTACATTTCAACCCCCCGGCAAGATTTGAAGAGTTCACAAAAGGCAAATATAATTGGAGACCAACAAACTAAGCACTACGCCTATTAAAAGACAACCACTTATTCTTGGAGATCTACATTGATGTTGTTTCCAGCATTTGACATGTCCATTTTACTGTAGATCGGTTTCCCTCTTTCTGTAGAATGGACCATGAATGGTCCAGTGATTAGTCCTGAAAATAACCTGTAAAGAAGAGTGAAGCACTTTATGATTAAAAAATGCATCATTTTTAGCCAGCCATGCACTTGCTCCCACATGGATTTGAGATTGCAAAGTAGGGTCCAATTGTTTTATCCATACATCGAGAATGTGTTTCACACAATTTGGTGGTTGTAAACCAAATGCAAATTAAACTATTCTCAAAATAAATATTGCAACATGACAACCAAACATCAAATGTTGGATGGTTTCTTCATTGTTAAAAAACAACAATTTTCATCACATTTCCAATTTCTCTTTAGGAGATTCTCTTTTGTCAAATTGACTATTGATTAAGAACCAAACAAAAATCTTCCAGCTTCCAGATCGATCTATTTAAAGCATTACAATTTGGTTGACTAAAAGCCTACACATAGATTGTACCGTAAACACCTCTTGCATCATAAGGCTCCATTTGATTGTTTGCAGTTTGTACTCCACTGGCGCTCTGTGAAAAGAAATAAGAGGTGTAGTACTAAACGTCTTAGCCACTGTCATGTGTTTATTTCTTGCAATAATAATGTATAAAAATGAATATTTCTCTTTTAGAGTAAAGTTTCCTAATCACCTATCCTCCTAGAACCTAACATGAGCACTACTGCAAAGGTAAAAGGAAGATAGCTCTAATAAATGGTATTTTACCTTCATAAGTGCTGGCTATACATGAGAATCTCCCGGCTCCCAATAAATTTTACCTCCATGCTACTGGGTCGTGGCTTCATTGACAGACCTGTAAACATTGAACGGGATTTTTTTATTTCGAAGAGACCGTTAATTCTAATGGTTCGAAGTCCACCCCAGTAATCAGGCTATGAGACGATGGTGCTCGTGCAGCAGGCCTGAAAAAATAGTGACGTGTGAACTTTCTCCTTATATGAGACATATATACATATGACCGTTTCACATCATGAAATTGACATGTTTCTTAATGTGGCAATTTCTTAGGTTGCCATGGGTTCTAAATCTGTCAGGATTCGTTGTTGTAAAGGGTATGAAGAAAACTTGATGCTGTAACTTTCACAGAGGAGTCCAGACTTGTTCGTGACACAAGCATCAAAACTTAGCTTTACCACACGGTGTAAAAAAGGCTGCAGCGTACAGTGCTGCAGATCAGGACGTACCAGCAGTCCAGCAATGCCTGTGCTGTGCAATGTTAAAACCGGACGGCGAGATCTTCCTGATCAAGATTTCTTCCTTATATGTTGCCGTATATAACCTTCCGAAACTCTGGCCTTGGCAATGGTAGAGATCAAAGAAAGAGCGTGTAGCCACCAAGCCAGGTAGAGGCAGAGCCGAAGCAACAACATGAACAGCAGGTGCGTGTCCATGAACTCAAGGAAGCTCAGCGGCCACCGGCTGCCGTCGTCGTCCGAAGACGATGTTCCGGAGACGACGAGAGATCAGCACGTCGGCGACTGCAGGCCGGAGGCTGACGGCGGCGAGATGATGGTGCATTTCAGCCACCCGGAGCACCGGCTGGCCCGGTTCGACTTCCCGTACCTGTTCATGTGCATGGGCTGCAAGGAGTACGGCGCCGGGAAGCGGTTCATGTGCCAGGCCTGCGGCTTCCAGCTGCACGAGTTCTGCGCGCTGGCGCCGCCGGCGCTGCACGACCACCCGTTCCACCGCAAGCACCCGCACCTCCTCTTCTTCGTGAAGCCAGCGCCGGGCGGCGGCGGCTTCCTCCGCCGCAAGTGCGACCTCTGCGGCAAGTCCTTGCGGGGGTTCTCGTTCCGGTGCGCGTCGTGCAGCTTCGACATGCACCCGTGCTGCGCGTCCATGGCGCAGCGGATAGATCTCCCCGCCGTGCACGAGCACCCGCTGCTGCTGGCGCAGGACGACGGCGGCACGGAGCAGGAGACGAGCTTCGTGTGCC